AGCCCTGCTCTGTGCGCGTTCCTTCCCGGTCCTTGCTGCTTCACTGCTTCAGGTGCCTTAGGCCGGCTCACCCCCGCCTCCATCCCCTCCCCTCGGTGCTGCTCCGCTTTGGCTTTGCGAGCTGCTTTTCTTGCCTGGCCGGTTGCCGGGAGGTGCAGTGGGCAGTGGCGGCTCCCGCTGCGCAGCTGGGGACTAGAGGGGCCCGGCGAGTGCGGGGGGGCGGCGAGAGGCTCTGGCTTCTGTAAGCTGTGTCGGTGGGGGGCCGAGGAAGGCTGTCTAGGAGGAGGAGGCCGAGGTTGAGGAGGCCAGGGAGGGTGATGATGGTGTTAAATGTGGCCGCGCAGCTCCCCGGGGAGCGGCCTGAAAGGGCGTGCGCTCACCAGCTGACAGCGCGTGCTCCGCTCCAGACGCTCCGCACCGTGGCCAGGAGTCTCTGCCAGCCCCTCTATTGTCAACCGCTCTCTAATTAAGAAACATTCACATTATGGCAAACTACCCCCACGCTTCTTGGTTCCTGTCCTTTCCTTTATCTTCCTGTGACTTCTCTCCTCCCCTGCCTCTCCCTTGAGTCCCCAGGGTCCGGAGGACTTAACCCATTCTCCACTCACTTTTTTTCTCCACTCACTCCGCCTTTTCCAGCTAGGAGCCAAAAAAGGAGGGTGTCGTCCTGCTTGGGCTCTGCTATGCCTAGGGGTTAGGGTAGATTTAAAAAACTCATGGCTTTATTTTAGCCCCCCCCCTCCCCTGTCTTCTCTGGAAAAGAACGGGAGACATTTCAGCTTTTACCTGTCCTTGTCTATTCATCCTTGCCCTTTGCTCTCTTACTAACAAGTGCAGATTTTCCCAAACTGCAGTTGACGAGCCCAGATAGTGTCCGGCAAGTGGTTCTGTTGCTCACACTTTCCAGGTCTCACCCGGGTTTGTAGCAGAAAGATGAACTGGGTAATCTTTTTCTTGAACTTTTTAATTAGCAGGGCGCGCGCGCGCGTGCGTGAGTGTGCGTGCGTGCGTGTGTGTGTGTGTGTGTGTGTGTGTGTGTGTTTGAATGAATGAATGATATGCTTTGGTAAAATACCATATTCTAGGCTCAGCTTTAAGTCTCTAAAATCAAAATCAACAGAAAGGGCTCATGAGAGAGTTGATCTTACACGCTGCTTCAGACAAGGACGTTAGAGCCCTTTCTGGTAGACCCCCAGTTAGCAATGTTCCATTAAGAACGTGTTAAACTTGCCTGTTGCCAAAAATAATCCTCCTTCAGCTCTCCGTGAAATCAAATAAGTTTTCAAAAGTGTGGCGAGCCAAAACCCTCCATAAATAAAAATGATGATTGGCTGGGGGTAAAAACAGACTATAAAGCAAGCTGTTTAAAGTATAGAAAAGTCTGGAAAGGACCAGCAGCATGCGAAAGACTAACCCGATTTATCTATCTTCATTACTTTAAGAAACGCTACTTCTTTGTTTGTTTGGGTGATATTAAGCATGCTTAACTTGCACACATAGTTGATGCCTTTGCCAGTATCTTAGATACTTGGATCTGACTTTGGAAGGTAGAAGCTAATTGCTAATAATGGAGAGAAAAGAACCAGTCAGCATGGCAGGAGTGGTCTGGCATATGGGGAATGAGCGCTCAGAAATACTCAATATTCAAGTTTCCAAAATATTAATGAGATTATAGCAACCTGCAGCTATGTGTTACAGCTTGTTAATGGAGTGTAAGAGAGTGAGCTGCCAGACATTTGTTATGCAAACTTCATTGCAGAACTTGGATGTGGATCTCTTTCAAAGAAATGCCAGAAAGAAAGAAAACGAAGAAAAGAGGTTAAAGTTCTCATTTGAACTTGAGAACTCAATTTGCCACAAAATGGTGTGAAATTTTGTTCATGTTTGAGGACGTAGAAGAACTTTTTTTTTGATTTTCAATCACTGTCATATAGGATTTACAGTTTAATATTCTGTTATGACACGTTTTCTTCTGAGAAGAAACAAACAGGACTTCCTTACAGGAAGATAGGGCACTCTGTTTTGTACAAGTAGCACTAACAGTTAAGGCTTCAAACTCTGCTGTTTGTGGCAGTAACATTCCATCTGAACCTTGGACAGATGTAGCTCCCAACTATGCATTACGTTGGAGAGAAGGAAAAAAAAGTGTGATTCCCTTACTTGATGACCAGGAACACAAAGATCTAGTAATAGATATTCATACTTTCTGGTTGGGTGATTTGGGGAAAAATTAGGAGCAGCAATTTCCTCATTTATAAAAGCTGAGAAGAAAGATGCTCCCAATCCCTTTCCATTTTCTCAAAGTCCATAAAAAGGAGTAGTTTTGATAAATTCTTTTTTCTTATTGGTTGATACAGTGTGCATACATGTTTTCATAATAATTGTTTTCTTTAAAACAGATGCACACACATGCACACACGCACACAAAATTTCTTCTTCCCCATGTGGTTCTCTTTTGTATACTCCTAGCAGGGAAAAAGAATTCTAGGTCTTCTTTGCTCTCTCTCCCTCTACACATGTACCGAAACATACTGAGCCAAAGTACTATGAAAATACACAAGAGTCGGTGCTCTTACCCTGCAAGGTTGTTGTCTGTCCTTATCTGGTTTGCTTATTAAGAATGAAATGGAAATGTGTTGGAAGCAATTGCTTGATTTATTCAGCAGTCAAAAGATTCTTGATGCTTATCTTAGTGGGGGCAAAAGGTTATCTAAGAGACTGGTGCATTGTTTCTGCCCCTGGAAAGTGTCACCAGCCTGTGGCTCTTGGCTCCTAGAGAGCAGGCTGACAGAGCAGTCCAGTTTCCCTGGATAGACTTCAGCTGAAAGTCATGGGTATCCAAGCAGTCAATAGACTGTTCCTGTTCCCACTTCTAGAACAGAAGAGAGCCTCTTACCGAGGTGCTGAGAGAGTAGGATATCAGAGCCAGAAAACTAACCTCTCCTCACTTTGGGAGTGGGGTGTCCCTTAATTTGTTTTCTTAGTGAAGACAGTAAATTTGCTTACAGCCTGCCCTTTAAATTCAGGGATGTTTATCTGGCAGAAAGTCACAGAAGCTTTTGTTTGATGAAGACTGCTAGTCCTAAATTTGGCAACCAAATGCATTTAAAAAAATGCTTTCTACTCTTTCTTCACCCTCTATAAACTTTTCTAAGATCTCCTCTGATCCGGGGACCCAGAACAACTTTCCCTTCATGTGGACTTCATGAGAGTGACAGAGTCTTTACATTTCTTCAGTTGATTTTAGAATGCGCTTGACTATTTGCAGGGGAAATAAAGGCAAATATCAGCTTCTGTATTGGAGAAGTGGAGTTTGAAAAGAAAAACTTGAGTGGAGGTCAGCGATTTCCTAGAGTCACAAACAGGCTTCTAGTCATTGAATCAGTGATCATTTATCCCTCTTTTCCCTCAAGTTCTTTTCCATTGTCTTTTTTCCTTCTTGGTAACCTCTGTCCCACTGGAGGGAGGAGAGAGGGAGAGAGGAAGAGAGGAGAGAGGAGAGAGGAGAGAGGGAGACAGGGAGAGAGGAGAGAGGGAGACAAGAAAGAGGGAGAACAGGGAGAGAGGAGAGAGGGAGACAAGGAGAGAGGGAGACAGGGAGAGAGGAGAGAGGGAGACAGGGAGAGAGCAGAGAGGAGAGAGGTAAAGAGGGAGAGGGAGAGAGGGAGAAGAGGGGAGAGGGGAGGGAGGGAGGGAGAGAGAGAAAGAGAGAGATTGTACTGTGAATTCCAAATTTTTCAGTTTTGTGAGGGAGAATAACTCCAATGATGCTGCCCTACTAATGACAAGATCCCAGGTGGCTAGAAACACCCACTTCCCTTAGAGGGATCCTTGATTTTAGAAGACCAAAAAAAACAAAACAAAAAAAAAGATCCTCATGGCTCAAGAGGCAAACCATGCTGCAAATTTGGGAAAAGCTTTATCTCTTATTGATATGAGTGCTTTCCTATGAATCATGTCTATTTCTTGAAAGCATTAGGTTTGCAACTTTCTTCGAAACTCCCCAATCACAAATTAGCATATGAATATTTGAATCTTTCAGGTCACTTACAAATGATTTTTAAGGGTTTTCTGGAATGGAATACTTGACAAATAAAAGGTATTTTTCAAGTTTATTTTATCATTTGCAAAAGGACTTACATAAAACCATGGCAACCGGCATTGCTAAATCAAAATAAAATGATCTCGAGTAGAAAATGTAAAAAAAAAAAAAAAAAAAATGAATCGAGACATGTAGAAATGGTCCCAAACACTCAATAATAAATAAGTTTTCTAACATTAACAAAGCAAAATAAATTTGACCAAATGTCTTTGACACTACTACATGTTTTTCTAATTTTCGTTTTTATAAACAAATATTTGCAAAGAGCTAAAAATTGTAAGTGGCTGTGTTTAAAATAAACGGCAGGTCTGCGGTTGGCAGTTGAGTTTCTGTGGAGCTGCCTCAGCCTCAGCAGCAGCAGCAGCAACAGCAGCAGCTGATAAAGTGCGTGCGCCAAGTTTCCTACACATCGCCAAGGTTCATGGGGTCAGACTCTGTACAGAGTCTTATCGCCCCCTCGTTTCTAACAATTCAGTAATCAGTATTCAGTTTGAAAGCGCTGGCTGAGGTTCTTAATGCGTTTGGGGAAACTTCGGAAGACTTGAGAGTGCGCACAACACACAGGGACCTACGCCCAGGGCATAAAACAAATTAAACCAAACCAGCGACAAAGAAGATGTGGTATTTTTAGCAGCGTATTGGCAGCACGGACTAAAAAAGGATGTCGCGTATAGGTACATATAATCACACCGCGTCTACATAGCGAGGAAGCAGAGGGTGGGAGGAAAGGCAAGACTTGAACAGGGAGTTTTCGTCCTACAATACGGAACACAAGAAGTTTGGAACAGTGGCGGCATTTGCAACCATCAAATGTAGCTGCCTTCTGAAGTCAAGTTGTTGCTAAACAAGACCATTGACCCTCTCAGAGCAAACATTAAAGGGTGCAGGGACGTTTACCGCGCGGTTTTCCGCGCTCTGGGAAGGGGATGTCGGTTTGTTTCAGTTTTCAGGGCGCTGTCGCCTTCCTAACTTGCCTCATCCGAGTCACTGTAATGGGAGTGCGGGGAAAACTCTCCATCGCTTCTGTGGGACCTGGGAGACGTCTTGCTGTTTTCTTCCGGCATAGGTTGCAGGATGCTCCCCGGCAGCGAAGGCGACAGATTCTTCTGCGCCATCATCGCCGTTAGGGCGCTGTCCTCGAAAGTTGGGAAGTGCAAAGCGTCCAGCGGCACCGAGTAACCTCCCGTGGAGGCCGGGGCCGAGAAGCGGGTCCGACAGGCTGCGGGTGCGGCGGGGCGCGGGCCCCCTCCGGAGGCCGGCTGCGCCCCAGGCGCAGCCGCGGCACCCGCGCCCCCTTCGTAGGAGGCGGCGGTGCGAAGGTGGTGGTGGTCACTTTTGCAGGAGGCCGGCGGCGGAGGCGGCTGCTCTGCACCACTGGGCGTTTGCAGCAGCTCCGACAGGGCGTTGATGTAGATCTGGGCCATCTGCAGGGTCTCGTATTTGGACAGCTTCTTGTCGTTGTTGAACGAGGGGATAACGTTGCGCAGCTGGTCGAAGGCGTGGTTCAGCCCGTGCATCCTGCGCCGCTCCCTGGCGTTGGCTGCCAGCCGCCGCTGCTTCTGCACCCCATTCACCTGCTTGCTGGACGGGGCTCGCTGGCGGCTGCAGCCCAGCTCGTCTGCCGCCATCCCGCCCTTCAGCTTGCACAGCTGTTCGCGCACTTTCACCTGCCCCGGGCTCTTGGTGAGACCTCCGCTGTTCCTCCTTACCAGCTCGTCCTGGCCGTCCGCCTCGTCCCGGGGCGCCGCGGCGTCGGAAGCACCCAGCTCGGGAGAGTGCAGCAGATACTGGGCGGCGCGTGCGGTGCACAGGCCCTGCAAAGTGGGAGTGAGCCAGGCGCGTGGGTCGGTACTGTCCAGGAGGGACAGCTCGGCCGGGTACACCGGATGCTCTCTGGCCTGCAGGGTTGCAGGTGGCTGTGGAGGCAGCTGCGGGAGGTGAGGCGGCTGAGGATGGCGATGGTGGTCCCCCAACACCTTCGCCTCAGCCCACTCTTCCGCGTGCAGCAGGCGGGACATCTTGCTGCCAGCTGGGATGAGCAGCGTTAGAGGAGGTGCTGGCCACCCAGCTCAACCAAAGAACGCCAAACCCAAACCCAAAGCCTCTCCGGGCTCTCTTCTGCAATGTCTTATTTTTTTGTCTCCTCCTCAACCCTCCCCCACTCACTCGGGGATCACACACCGGGTCGCGTGCACTGAAGCTTCTCCGGTTGCTGAAGGCGCTGCGCCCCTTTAAAAAGCGGCACGCGCCAGTGTGTCTTCCCCCGCACGCCTCCCAGCCCCCCCCTTGCGCCGGTCGCGTGTCTGAGCAGCCAATGGAGGGCGCGGGCAGGCGCGTGCGAGGAGCCAATCAAAGACTTTTTATACCCGGAGAAAAGTTCCAGAGTGCTGAGGACTCAAGCGCCCGCTCAGGACTTTTTTTTCCCTTTGCCCTCTTTTAAATTCGTGAAATTCACACGTCAATTGCGGGGTTGTAATTCGACTCCAGAGGGTGTCACCGACCCGGCGTCAGAGGTGCGGGAGCTGGTGCCGAGTGGGTCCCCTAGGCAGCCCGAACCTAACCTGGGAGGCTTGGAAGGGCACGGTGGTAGGCTGTTCCTGGTTCGGCTGAATGTGCCTGGCGCCTGCTCAGCACATAGAACCCAGAGAAGCCCACCTGCCCTGGCTGAGATTCGTCCTAGCCAGGAAAACACGTATAGTCCCTTATACACGGTGTGATACACATACATGTGGCTGTGCACAAAGCTCTCACTATTTGTAAGTTCACTGCCCTGTAACTATTAAAAGACGTCTTACTGAAAATCAGAATAAAAGGGGCGAAACACATTCGTGTCTGGGAGATATTTCTTAATTTTACTGTTTTTGTCCCTCTCGGCCCAGATCTTCGCTTCTTTATGTGATCTTTTTGGATGTAAAGTAAAAGTGCAGTATAGTTATGACGCACCAAAATCCAGAGCCCCAGCCCTCTCGGAGCCGGTTGGTTCCCCAGCGCCCTGCGATCAGTTAGGGTCATATTCTGCAGAATATGAGAAGGGGAGGAGGACAAAGCTAGGGCTGAGATACTGTGCAGGATCAAGCAGTTTCAACACTCACAGGGTAGACTTGGCTGAATTCAGAGCCAAGGGCAGGCACTCAAATTAGTTCCAAAGGTGCTTGCTTTCCCTGTGATTCTGGGCACTTTGAAAACACTGCTCCTTTCTGTCCTGGGAGCCCTTGCTTTCCTCCTGCGCGTGGCTTCTGGCGCAAACGCCAAGAAACCACAGCCTAACCCACCTGTCCCGCTCTGTTTAGTTAGGGTGTGTACTCCCCTTATAAACTGGGGAACGCTCCCCACCCACCATATTAACCCCAGCCTAGTGTTTCACCGCAAGGAGCCAATCAGATGCTGTCTGACCCTGGCACGCCCGGGCTTGCGCACCCCAGCTCCTCCCGGCACTCTCTGGCACCTGCCCTGGGGTACCGGAGTGGGTGGCAACCAGTGGTGGTTGGAGCTTCAACAGCTTTCGAGTTTCAAAGCGGCAGCTATCCTGGGAGGACTTGTCTACTGGCAGATGGTTCCGGCAGCGAACTCCCAGGAACTTGTCTTTGTAGGGTCCAGTGGTGCTGAAAACGCTCTCGCTGGTGTTGAGCCTTAAGGACTTGATGGAACCTGCCATCTGGAACTCAGTACACAGAAGAATTTCTGCGCCTTGAGTGAGAGTGCATAACTCTCAAAAAGATAAAAGAATGGAACACAGTACAAGTTATGATAATCCATCAGTCTTCACCTGTTTCTCCAACGTTCTCTGTTTCCTTGTCCAGTCCCTGGCCTCTAGACCTTGGCAACCAGAGAGGTCAGAGGAGCAGATTATGTGAGAGTTGAGGCTCTGCTGAAATAGAAATATTAACTAGAAACAGGCAAAACTAGAACCTAATTGAAAACTATTGATGACAATAAAGAGAAAACATAACCTTTTTCTTGGGAGGGGGGCAGGAAATTCTCCATCGTGTTCCCCCGAGAGTGGCCCAAATACTGTTGAAATCAACCAATGATTCTCTTAGAACAAGTAGCACTACCCCATGAAATGCACAACCTCAAGCATTGTAGCTACGGGGTGGGTGGGGCAACTTTCAGAAAGGCCTTTAGTTATGTTTTGTGCCTGGGTGGCAGAGTCAGCAGCCCCAGCTTGGGAGGGTGGGTCACCCCACTTGCATTTGGTTCCCCATGCAGTGGCTTCCTGTGTCAGCCGAAAGCTACTCTAGGAATTTTTCCTCAAGGTGTAGGCTGTTCAAATTTTCCCTGGACCTGTGTCATCCAGGCGTTTTATTTGTGCTTTAAATTTGATCACACAACTGCAAAACACTCATTTTCCTTTATGCTTAGACAGTTTTAAGGGTGAAAATCAAATATTTGCAGAATATTTTTTAGGTTATAGTTTCCAATTCATAAACTTTAGTACAAATTCTTTCTTAAAGCAAATCTCAATTTGTTAAAAAATATTTTATTTATAATTTTAATTTTATGTGTATGAATGTTATGCCAGCTTTGGATCCCCTGGACCATGTGGGTGCTGGGATTCAAACCCAGGTCATCTGCAAGAACAGTCAGTGTTCTTAACCACTGAGCCATCTCTCCAGCCCTGCAAATCTCAATTTTTATGTGAGTAATGAGTAATGAAAGGGACTATATGCGTATTTTCTTTAATTTATGACAAAATACATTTCTTTTGCCCCTAACGGGGATCGAATTTTCCTCCTTTTCCTTTCATCTTCTCACCCATTAGGTGAGGAAACTTGGTATCTGCGATGGAGTGAGGGACACAGAACCCTGTGCACTGGATTGGAGGTTGGATAAGGGAGCAGAGTAACCCTAAGGAAGGCTGTGGAATGGGATTGAGAGTGAATCCTCATGGGCACTGATGGAGCAACAGCAGCTCAAGCTGAGGGCTTCTCTGGGTGGCCAGCCAGATTAGCTACATGCAGAAAGATTGGTGGAAAAAATAAGTACTTGAGGAAAATGCTGAAGGCTTCTCACTATCAGAGATGCAGTTAAAATATGGAATTAGAGGGATCTGTTTTGTTGGCTTAAAATTAGAGATTTTCATACAAATTTTTAGTTTTGAATACATATGAATAAATGACACAGGAATAAATATAAATATAAGTACGACATGTGTATACCTGGTATGTATATTGTTATAGTGTTTTTACTCTCAGACCCCTGACAGTAAGTATAGGTAATTCCTCAGATTTGAAGTTTCCAAATAGGAGCCAAGCTTTCTGAGACAGGAAACCCCTCCCCCGACCACAGCATCTAAAATATCTTACTTATAAGGAAGTGCTCAAAGAACAATGGAGGCATGTCAGAGGATCACAGACACCTGCTTGAAACAGCTTCCAGCAACATGCTGAACAATTTCAATAACAGAATAAGTAAGGATAATGATAAATTACCTACCATTTGGAAAAGGGATCAACAAAATATTAATATTAGCAGAATAACTGAATTCATCAGAAATTTGATAAATACTACTTACAAAATAATTATTAATTTCAAAGGAAAGTAGAGTGATCCTATCATAAAGGATTCTGATGTCACCTTGATCGTGTGATCAAAACTTACATTGCCAGCAATGGACAAAATGAAGTTATGTGGCATTTGTCAGGATGCAGTGACTCTGGGATGCCTATCTTGAATCCAATCAAGAGAAAACATCAATCTAACCCAAACTGAGGTACATTCTACTGAAAGACGAGCTTATAGTCATTGAAAGTGCCAGGATTATAAAAGGCAAATGATCTCAGCAGCTGTTCCGGCTAGCAGAGGATAGGGCAATTGATAACGTGTCTGAGGCCTGATTCTAAGCTGGGTCTTTCTATATAGAGAACATTGATGGAAAATTTGACAAACTTGCCAGAGAAATGCACGATAAAAATTAGTTTCCTGTTTCTGATGGTTGTGTTGTGGTTCCTTAAGAAAATGCCCTCCTTTTAAAGGAATATTTGCTATACTGTTCAGGGGTATTCATGAGACAAGTTATTTTAATGGTTTTGTAAAAGTTTCTTTACACTGTATTGCAAGTTTTCTCTAAGTTTGAGATTGTATCTAAATAAGGAGTAAATAAACAAACCAAACAAATCCATGAATGGATTTAGCTTTCTCCTGTCTTGTCAAGTTCAGGACCCCCTGCCTTCACAATGGTGTGCCCCACAATGGGCTAGATATTCTTACATTAATTAACAATCAAGACAATCTCCCACAGACATGCCCTACCCAACCTGACAAAGGCAACTATTCAGTTAGTACCTTTTCCCAGGTGATTCTAAGTTGTAGCAAGTTGACATTGAGAACTAACCACTATGCCCACTGAGTTGAAGTTTCTCTCTAATTATTTCTGAAACTGTAATTTTTTTCTCTGCCTAGTCACAGCAAAGTATGTTTCCAATGGGTTTATGAATTCTCAGATAAAAATGAATGTTCCAATAAAAAAAAAAAAAAACAACACTAAGAACATCTCAAGATGTGCCAAAAATTGAGTATTAAATCAAAATGCATTCTACTACAGGTTATTTTAAATAAGACTTCCCAGGAGCTGGAGAGATGGCTTGGTGGTTAAGAACACTCGCTGCTCTTGTAGAGGACCAGAGTTCAGCTCCCAGCACCTACACTGTGGTTAACAACTATCCGAAACTCCAGTTTTAGGGGAACTGATGCCCTCTTTTGACCGCTCTGGGAATTGCATGCACATGGTACAATTGTGTGCATGCAGGCAAAACACTGATACACATGCAGTAAAAATAGATAAATAGACTCCCAATCTCAGACCTCTTGGGGTAAGTCCATAGCGCAGCCCTCTGTGCTTTGACTCCCCAAGCCACATTCACCCTACCATTTCCCCCGCTGTTCTCTAATCCTAGTTTGGGCCCTGCACCATTCCTAGTCTTGGGGCCCCAGACACCTGGGGAACCAATACTGCTTCCTGATCCTTTTCACCCAGAACAACTTAGTGCCTTTCTTGGGCCCCAGGAGGACTGCTTCT